CTTCTCTCAAGTGGCAGTTGTTGGCATTAAACCAGTATTAGTGTTGCCCATCCAAGAGAAAACAATACAGTTTGTGGAAGCAACCTGAGAGAAAAGAGTGTGTGTTGGGGTGGGAGGGGGTAGCAGGGGGACGATCAGTGCCTTTAAATACAGGAAAAAGAAAGACCTGCAGCAAGAAATTTACTTTCTCTTACTTTTCACAGCCTATGTAGGAGAAACGCGAGATCTATATGGACAGTCTGTTGATTTCAGTTGGCTTCAATCTGGTCCATGAGGTATAAAGAAATTACTTCATTATGGACTGTTTCACTGTTGCATGCTGTCAGACACCGAAGAAGTCTGCATTCCTACTGCCAGTCCACTGTCTGCTGTGGAGGTAAAAATCTCCAGCTTCCAGTGCCAGCTACCAAAACAGTTTAAACCGTTCAACATCTCAGGTGATCTGATTAAGGGACATCTTTTCATCCCCAGTATAGTGGGCTTAGTACTGGTGGCTGCAGAACATGAAAAGGAAAGGATGAATGAATCGCAGCGTTTGTAGGGGAAGGCTGGGGACAATACTGCAAGGAGGGAAGGAAGCATCTCCTCCTCTCCAGCCACAGCCAACAGCCATTTGCATAATTGCATTTGCTGACTTCTTTAAAAATAGCCAACACTGGGCATGGCTGATCTAAATAAAAAAATATTATTTTTACCACCAAGAGTATACGTAAACACTTCCCCCTTTGTGCTAAGCTTTTGCAAAACATAATCAGAAGTGTCATTTTGATAACTGATGTGACTGTCTTTTGCTTGGCTTGGTTTATTGTCACTCTGTTTCCACCTGTAAAATCCTCAGGGGTGTAACCATTACTGCGTGAAGTGAACTTTGCTTTGGTTTTAACAGCTTAGAGAATGGCAAATGCTGTGAAATACTCTGCAATTGCTGAAGCATCATGTATTTTTCTTTCGCTTTCTAAAGAGGATGTGGTTGGTAACTGGAAGGCTTGGGTGAGGATATCTTCAGTATCTCTCCACAGCAGCAAGCAGGTGTCCTGTTTATTCAATTTCAGAACAGTCTGAATAATGGCCAGCTTGCAGGACCGGGCAGCCCATATCCCTTCTCCACCTTTCATGCCAATGATTAGCACACGAGAGGTGAGCAGGAAAACTCTGCAGTGATGCTAAGAGGCTCCAAGTGAAAAAACAGCCTGAAATATAATCCATACTTAAATACCTCCAGTGGGATATTTCATGTAGCATTAAAAAACGAAAAGGATACATAATTCCACACGTTACTCAGTTTTCACAGAGCGGCACCTAAATCACCACTTCCTATGTTGTGATGAAGACGTAGGCCCTCCTACAGCCGTTTGAATAACACGCGATGAGGCTTACCTCAGGAATTAGGGTGAGAGATTTTCTGTTGATATACCTTCTGAAACCTTCAGGAACTGCTAGTAAAAGAGAAGTTAGCTGATTTTTTTTAAGCTGTAAATGGAATTGCTGTCTTCCTTCTCACAGCCGAGGAGGCTCAGAAACTCATGGACAAATGAGCGTTTGTCTATAAATAGAATCCTGATGAGCCTGACTGGAAATTAAGCTAGCAATGAAATTACGGCTCATTAGCCATTTTCCTGTCCCACTATCTTCATGACTTTTCCTGGTTTGCATGCCACCAAGCATGCCACTGTCAGAAGTAACCAAATTCTGGTTACTGCCTACGTGAATTTTACAGATAGGCCGATTCCAACAGTCTGTGTAATCCAACGACACTTCAGTATTTGCTTTAATCCAGCCAATTTCTACACCTCGAACAAACCTAGATGAACTTTCTAGTTCCATCAGGAAAAAAAAAGAAAAATCTGTCTTTAAAAAGAATGACTATTTTTATTATTTAACTGTGTTCTGCTAAAAATATTCCAGCTAGTAGAATATTCCCTCATTGCTATGGAAGCTGTAACGCTCCTGTATCCTTCAACATATCTTAACTAAATGACAGCTATGATTAATTAAGGCAAAATTGCATTGGGTAGGACGGTCACCTTCAGTACAATTAAAAAGAAGTGTTCTGGTACAAAAGAAGAATCATGCTATTCTTGTTCTCCCAAGCTCTACTGCAAATATAGACCGATAGGTTAATAAAAGCATTTCTAAACAGTTGTAAGAAATGAGACATCTGATTCAGGAATTCTGTTCCTCAGTTAACTTATTATTCAGCTACTGAAAACTTCATTTTCCCACCTGTGAGATGACAAAATCCAATGAAAACAGTATTAATATTTATGTTCTACACAGAAAAGGCTTTCAAAGCATGTTCATAAAGTGGAAAATAAAAGCAGAAGTTTATCCAAAACTTTCTGGCGCTTTGCATATTTAAAATTTTTCAGGCTTGCTGCCAGGATTTGTTGGCTTAAGAGCAAGAGGCTATATTTTATAGAAGTTATTAATATGGGGGAATAGTGGTTCAACTTTTATATCATTTGAATGGTAAGTTCTATTATATAGGTCAGTTAATTTTAACTACAGTTCACTCTGTTGAGAATATGGAGTCCAAAACTGCCCACAGGTAGAAAAAAAGAATAATTATTGGGGCTATTTTAAATGTTTCACGACAGTAGTGTTTGCCTCCTATATAAAGATCATTCAGTAAAATATGTGTGCACATGTGTGCATATGCACACATATGAGAGCAACCAGTAAAAATACTATGGATATGAAAATAATTTTGAATGAACAGTGAACTTCTTTTCTTTCATATACAGGGTCATGTTGTTGCTTGCTTATGAAACATGAGCAAAATCCAATACCTTACGTTAACAATGCAAACTTGACAACCATTAGAAGTAGCTAATGGAAAATTAAATATTTTTTTTGTTTGAAACAATTTTGTAAGTCCTTATGCATGGAATACTTTTCTTGTATTGCAGCCTACCAATACTTCCCACTTTTCTGATCAGATACATGCTCCAACACGGTTACATCAATACACCCAACTGCTAAGATTTCATGGAACGTCACTCTAACGGTCTGCATTTACCCAGTGAGAGAACATGCAGAAGAGCAGCAGCTTCTACACAGTTTTTCCTCACATTCTCGTAAGAGCAACTGTCAGCACAGGATACATTTATATCATTACATTAGTTTGCAGTTCAAGGGAGAAAACTCATCTTTTAGGCAAGAAACACAGGCCCAGTGTGGGAACTGGCTCACACTCAACTCTCCAGGCAGTACAAGCATAACTGGATCTTTGCATTCAAGCATACCTGTCAACAGCAGTTCAAAAGCAGCGACAGGTACTTCTGTGTGAAGGTTGACGTTAATTTTTTCATTTCGCATATTAGGAAAAAACCCACCACCACTGCATAGAGCACAAGGCAGAAAAAACCCCAAACCTTTGTTTATAGTTTCCATGTGCAGAAGTGTGCAGTAAGGAAATTCAGGACGGTAAGTCCTGAAAATGATGAAACAATAGTAAGTAAGAGTTTTTTTCAGAAGACTAGTATAATTTCAAAGGTTAATTTTGATCTTAAATTGAGGAGTGAGGGAGTGGCAAAGTGTGTGTGTGTCTCAGAGGGAGAGAAAGATTTGGGTTTGGTTTTTTACTGTGGCTCTCAGTAGCACTGCTCTGCCACCTAACTGCAAAAAAGTACCTGCCATTTGTTCTTCATCTGAATTACTAAAGCTATTCTAATTTAAATTACACTACACAATTGTAGTGTATGTATTACCGTATAAACCCAACAATGAAGATGAGGAGAGTCATTTGTGTTTATGCCCATAAAAACATCTATGGCTGACCAGGGAACTAAGATAGCAAAAATGGTCTCTGAAATATGCATCCTTCTGACAGTTCAGGCTCTCCGGATTGCACAGGAAAGGGGAACGTGCAATGGGTGACGACAAATTCATTCCCAAAGTGGTGTATGTTGTTTATATCAGGCACTCATTTTTTACTGCTGTGACTTGGCACCATCATGTGGCCACTCTGAATTTGCTCAGTTTAAGTAAGAATTTACACAGGAAAATGCTTGCAACAAATTAATTAGAATTTACAAATTGTTTCAGTCTACTTCAGAAGGAGATGGTACATTTATTAAGTATATGTTCACTAAATTCTGAACAGGCTCTCTGGATTGCACAGGAAAGGGGAACAAATTCATTCCCAAAGTGGTGTCGCCCATTCATTGTGACGACAAATTCATTCCCAAAGTGGTGTATGTTGTTTATATCAGGCACTCATTTTTTACTGCTGTGACTTGGCACCATCATGTGGCCACTCTGAATTTGCTCAATTTAAGTAAGAATTTACACAGGAAAATGCTTGCAACAAATTAATTAGAATTTACAAATTGTTTCAGTCTACTTCAGAAGGAGATGGTACATTTATTAAGTATATGTTCACTAAATTCTGAACACATTGTTTTCCAGTCACCCTTTTTTCCCCCCTGAATCTCTGCTTGTTTAATCATGGTTTTCCTCATGATCTTTAAATCAGAAGTTGTTAGGCTCCAAAAGTTAAAGACATTTTCTGTGGTTGGTCTTCATCCAAATTCTACCAATAGTGTACAAAAGTTGGCATATTATAGACAACTACCCTCTTCTTCACTACAAGAACTTTGGGAATGATTTGCAGAATGAAACAGGTCAGTATTTTCTGCTTTACATCAGACATCCCAAAGGATTTAGAATTTCAGGAAATCTGACAAGCATATTATTTACATAGTTTGATCCAAACAGGTAGTGTACATATCAGGACAACTTGAGTTACATATCCCTTTTGCAAAGTTTCAGGGTCAAAATCAGAAGTAGGAAATCATGCAATGTAAATTTCTATTCTGATATGTTTGCATAATGTTTTCAGGTGGATATAAGAAAGTTCTACCAAGTGTTAATGTGTAAAAGGCTCAGAGATAGAAGTCTCCATACATTCAGGTTGCTTATACAGAGGCACAACTTTATGCTCACCAGACAAAGCATTGCTATCGTTCACTTCAGAGCAGAAAAATGAGAAAAAGCAGTGTAATTTACAGGAATATATTTTCAGTATTTTTTTTAATATATACAACTAGAGTACTTTCAATAATGAAATACAGTTTGCCATCTTTTTGAATACAATAATGCTAAATTTGATTCTGCCATTTTTTGTGGTAAAATATATGTTTTCAGCTGAAATACTGTACTGATATTCTTTAAAATATATACAAGTTATATACAAATACAAAATTACATTACAAATATTTTAATTGCAGTCAAAAAAAATCTAAATATTTTGTAATAATTTGTACACCCAGACAGGTGTACCATTTCTAAAAAGACTGCAATAAAAGCAACTGTAGTTTTTCAGATTCCTCAGGCTGAGGTAATGCCCACTTCTTCTTTACATACTGAATGTCTATCTGTCCAGATTCTTTGGCCAGAGCAACGCCTAACAGTCCATTTGTTTTTTCTGGTTCTCCCAGCAGAGCCATAGTTACAACACTGAAATCAAAAGAACAGGGGAGTGTTTTTAATTGAGGCAAAATTAATAGAAATTGGTGTTTTCAAAGTTGCTCAAAGAGCAGGTTACTTATAGTTAACTAAATAATGCCTTTTTTCTGCTCATTACAGTGCAATATTCCTCACTATTTCAAATCCCAGCATGCTCTTTAGCTCTACACTGACTACAGGAACAGTATCGTGAGTCCTGGTGAATACGTGCTAGCCAAAAATATTCTCGTTTACTCTGTGACAATGAACATAATATATTTCTTTATATTGGTAACCGTACTATATATAGGCATTTTAAAATGCTGTCCAACATATCTTGCCTATTTTAGGGGTTGATCCTGATCTAGCAAAGCTATCTTAGAACTTAAGCAATCCAGTGATTTTAGTGGGAAACAAATTTTTCTCTTCATATAAACAGCAACTGCTCCATGTACAGACATCTGCCCCAACTGATAACACTATATGCAATTTTGATTCATACTAACATTATTTCTCCTTTATCAGACTGTATAAAATAGTAAGTAAATAAGGATAAACTAAAATTTAGCTCACTATAGTCTCTATCCACACCTCCAACAGTTTAAAACTATAGTTAGAAAAGCAAATTGTAATGAAGATTTAATGTCAAGCAAAAAAATCCATCCAAAATCTAATCAAAATGTAGATGATAATAATACTAATATTTTGTTCAAAATAGAGTAATGTAATGTACTTACTTCTCTGATGGAATAGTCTGCTTTGCCACGGGCAACAAATCATTTTCCAGAAGATCCCAAATGTAAATATTAGATGATGCATCCAGTACAAAAAACACGGCAGGTCTTGTTAGAGCCCACTGCAGGGCGATAATTGGCTGGCCATTTGTGCTGTCATTCCACTGCATGAGGGGGTACTCTGATGTCATTTGGTGTAATCTAATACTTCCATCTGAACAGCCAACCTATATCATAGTCAAAAAGCAAATAATTCCTGGGAACAAAACAAACTAAGCAGGAGAAAAATTGCAATTCAATTCTTGAGAATATCAGGCATATAAATAAAATTAGTTATCTGAGTCAAGTAGCACATCTCTCTCGAATCGCACTCTACAGACTATTCAGATTTTAACTTTTAATGTAAATTTTAGTTCAAAAGCAGTAACTCTGTACTGAGCATACTAGAGTAATCTAATCCACTGATCCTGGGACAAGTCCCACTTTCCTATTTTAAAAAAAGTTCTCAAACTATCAACTTCACTAATACTATGGACCACCACAACTTGAAAGTAGTCTGAATGTGGCAAGGTCAGAGAGAGACCAATTCAGACAGCTACTTAGTGACACATGTAATCTGTAAAACCAAGAATAGCTTTCAGTAGGACAGGCTGTGCTTAACAGCATAATGATATTAAACTGCTGTCACTGCTTGCAAATATTTTTGTTATAACCTTTGTCTTGCCTAGTATAACATTTACAAGTTTGCTGTGATCCAGGTAGAGAAGAAGTTGTTCTAAGAAAACAGGAAAGAACTTATTCTTACTACCCTGAGCCATCTCTACATCAGGAAGACTTCCCAGAATTTTCAAAGTATGATGACTTTTTACAAGGACTCTGCAAGTTGTGTTTACATTTACATTTAAAAGGACTCTGCAGATACAAACTTATAGAAGTCAGTATCACTCTAAATAAATGCATTTGGGAAAAAGGTAAGAACATCTGCACTGGTAAAAGGAAGTTCTGACTGTGCAGTGGTGACACAAAATACATGTGCTGTAGCCAAACACATCAATTTTATACCTTAGGCAATCCCGATCTTCATGTAAATCATGGCAAATTTAGAAATAAAGCATTTTCAAGAAAAGATCAGGTACAAAAGTGTGCAAGGATAAGGAGATGGAAAATCCTACCAAAGTTAGATTCAACTTGCATTGAATAAACTTTCACAAGGGAGACAGTGGATGTGTCAATATGAACTGCTGAGGGCAGATCTGAACACGCCTGACCACAAGGTACACTACCAGGTGTACCCCAAGGGTATGCCTGATACGGAGAGGAAAGGAATGCCCAGAGCTGCCCCACAGACCTTTATTTCACAGCAATACAGATATTTTATCTCCAAAATGATTACGTCACTAAGAGATGTATGATAAAAGTGAGAAACAGCTGAGGCTTCTTAACAGCAGAAGACCTGCTTGCAATGCTGCTGCATGTCAGTAAAAACAAAGAGTAAGTTATAAGGCTGAAGTGAGATTGCCATTTGTTTGTGAGCCAGATGCTCCACCTTTTATATAAGCAAAGTTTGAACACCAGGACACAAGATTTCCTGTCACTCTTCATGGCAGATTGAAATTAGTGAGGTAAATCAACTACCACATCTAGTTAAATATGTCAAATTAGAACTTCTCCCTCAGCTAGTAATTAAAAAATGAAACTTGTATTATATGAAAATGCTTTCATACCAAAAATAGTGGCTTTCCAAAAGGGAAGAAATCAATTGCATTGATGCTTATTGATCTCAGCCCGCTCTCCTGGGGTCTGAATAGCTTTGGAAAAAGTTTTAAATCATGTCTTGTACCATGGCCTACCAGCCCCTACAAACAGTATAAAGAAAATGGATTAAGCAAAACAAAATTTGCATTATCAGTATTACAAGAAAAAGTTAAACAATTCACAGAACTGCTAACTTAAAAGATCCTTAATAGCTAACAGATTTTAATAATAGTCTCAAATTACAAATATTATATACAGTCTACTGGTAAAATTCCAAGTAAATGGGGCAGCTTCCAAAACAAAAAATAAAAATGAAATGAACTTCAGCGCATTACTCACAATGTTTGTTCCAACAATGAAATGGTTAGGATTAGAAGACAGAAATTTAATAGTCAGTGTCTGGGGCATTCTTTGGCGCACATCCTTTGGGAAGAGGCTAGGAAAAACATAAGGGTAAAAGATGACATCAATACAGGAAGTTGTCTCCTAAAGCTATGCAAGTACATACTCGTGATCTATAATGTCTATGACTAGCTCTAGGAAGAAGTGTATATTAAAAAAACCCCAAACAACTAATGAAATTATTGTTAAATAGACCTTACATAACAGCAAATTAATAAAGTATAGGACAAATTAGCTTTGTGAGATACACATGTAAAATCTAAATGCCCCGGTTTTCTTACCTATTATTCAATTCCATAGTAGAGCTATGTACTAACTTCACTTTCCCTCCAGGAATTAAACCTAAAATTATATAAAATAATAATTTAAATTTATTTAAGCACTTTGCATTAAGAAAGTGCTATAATTAAATTAAAACTTAAGGTAATAAGTAAAAGGATACTTCATAATTAAATTGTTTATCGTAGATATAGCTTTTGATACGTAAGAATCTTACATAATCTAGAACTATTTACTTCAGAATTCAAATCTGAAGAGTTGTAATCTTTGACAGAAATCAAAGAAAGAGGATAGAGAAAAGGAAACATGATTTTATGTTTGTTTTAGTTTTACAGTATGCATATAACCTCCTGTAGTATCACTCTATAAAACCCAACTCTATCAATAGTGAAAATGCACATTTATGTCACTTGGATCTTCGACAATGAATTATAGTAATGAGAGACTGTAATAATACTTCCATAAAGTTGGTCTACGTTATTTATTAGTGAAGAATAACACAGTTCAAATCCTTCAAACAAGAATTTTCTGAAGAGGCAAAAAATGAATCCTGGTGGCAGTAAAACTGTGTGAACACATGACCATAGCTTTAAGATGTACCTCTCCACAGATATAATAACCATCTTTAGCAGCTTAATATAGCCAGATATTGCACACGAGCTTATAAATTAGAAAACTGATCAAAAATTCTAGTTTGTTAGCATTACTTCATTGTTTATACATGTATTTTAAAATGTATCAGGATTTTAATCACAGCGTTTTCCAGTTAGGTAAATATGTAAGTCTAAATTTGCCCAGAGAACAAAAAAATGTAACTTTCTTGATTCACAAAACTCAAATAGGGCTGAATGGACTTTGCTCTTTACTTTTTTCATGGAAACTTTTTCTCACACTAAATTAAGTACTGCATGCAAAAAAGAACTTTCAGGACAATTACCAAAGTGGAGACACAGGCAACAACAAAAGCATGATAACAGATTTGGTTAAAACTAAAGAAAGAACATGAGGACCAAGAAGGATGTAAAAATCTCATAATGATTGAAAAGAAGCTGTTTAGGGGACAGAAATCTGCTTTAACATTGTAAGAAATGTGGTTGTCTGTGGTGGCAATTACCTACACAGAATTAGCAGACGAGATTCCGATAGCAGTGAAAAGAACTCATTATATTAACAAATGACTCCAAATATCAGATATATGTCCTATTCAGAATAAATAATTTCCTCAGTAATTTTGCCTTCTTCTAAACTATTTTTTGTCATCACTGGCTCTTCCTCTCCTAACTTCATAATCTCAAAACTCAAGCAACTTATTCTACCTCTAATGTACAGTACTCACCTAAATCAGTTTGTGAACCAGCTAAATCCACTTTTTGTAATTCAACAACTACCTGAAAAGCCAATATTTAACATTAATAAGCAATAAATATTTATCAGACTTTAAAGTTTTTTAACTAGTTGTAATAACGTATGACATAAGTCTAAAGGGACATTTAGATAGACAGGTCTAACATTAAAATGATTACAGGTGGATTCTCTACCCCGTCAGTGTCTGTAATGGTAAAAATAGCTTCACGTGCCTGCTGGATGGTCCCTGCTGGGAAGCAGAATACGGGAAGTTACATTCTGCACTTCACCACTAGTTGGCATCTTGTTGGTTTGGTCAGTCACAAAAAACCACCCTAAACTCCCAAATAAGAAATTGTAACACATTTCCTGTGCTTTTTACTATTCATGAAATAGAAAGCGCAGATCATTTGGCCTGAATTTGTTGCTACTAAAGTTACTTAGAGCTTTAAGGGACTTAACTAGTAATACAGAAGGGAAATACTTTTATCCGCTTATTATTCACTGAGACATCCAGTTCCTCAAGCAAGATCGATTCAGATGCAAACAACAGGTTCAGAA